AGTGACGGGGCAATTGGAATGGGAGTGTCAGAAACAGTGCAATTGGCACAGGACAGAGCAGAGTTTAGGGCTGTTGTACATGGGGTCGCTATGAGTTGCAAGCGACTCGATGGCACATAACAACAACAATAACAACAAGTCTTTCCAAGACATGAGCTGGTACAACACAAACTTCTGTCAAATACAACTAGTCTTGTATCCAAACATCATGCACTGTTAATACCTTGATGGCAGCAGTGCACCTACCCACTCCCACCTCAGCCCTACTTGTTTGTGCATGGTATTTAGACATCTAGAAGAGTGTGAATCCGAAAAGGGAGAAGAGGAAACAGCATTAATGCCTGGCTTGGATGAGGTCAGCCAAAGTTGTGCAGAGAAAGCCTGAACATATCATTGGTACAACTCCAAGCAGAATTGATATTCTTTAATAGGAACATCTGGTGAAAGCCCATGATGGGGTCTTCATCGGTCTGGAGCTGGCCCACAACCATTCTGAGGATGCAGCTCTCTCGCGTGGGCAGATGGTCCTGTGACGTGATGCTGTGCTGGATTTTTCTGGAATGGAAGGCTAGACAATTTCTCCACAGCAGCGGCTTACTCCTGGTACTATTGCCCTTCCCACATAAGGCATGGCTTGTCAGTGTAAATTGTGCTAGTTGGACTCTGTCATTATCAAATAACTGGTAGTAATGCTGAATGAAGCTGCATCCAATATGTTCTCAATGATCTCCCATTGTGGAGTGTCACCCAGCCTCTGTGAGACCCGAGGGGTTGGCACGATGGTGGCAGTGGTGGCAGCAACCCAACGCAGTCTTCTCCATACCTTTTAAATCTATATGTGGAAAAGATTGTCCAGGAGGTTGGACTTCATGAGGAAGAATGTGGCTTCAGAATTGGATAATGACTCACCAACAACCTGCATTATACTGATGACACACAAGCTTGCTTGCTGAAACTGAGGAGGGCTTGAAGCATTTGCTGCAGAAGGTCAAAGATTGCAGCCTTCAATATGGACTGCATTTCAATATCAAGAAAACCAAGATCCTAACCACTGGGCCAATATCATGGCAGATGGAGAAAGAATTGAGGTTGTTAATGATTTCATCTTGTGGATCTACAATTAACACTTTTGGCACCAGCATTCAGAAAGTCAAAAGACAAATTGCATTGGGAAAATCTATTCTAGAGGATCTCTCCAGAATGCTAAGAGCATGTCAGTTTAGAGACTAAGGGGTGCCTGATCCAGGCCATGGTCTTCTCAGTTGCTTGCTATGCATCTGAAAACTGGACATCGGGGAACTGGACACTGAATAAGGATGACAGAAGAAGAATCAATACTTGTGAGTTGTGCTAGAGAAGAGTATTGATCATACAATGGACTGCCAAGAAAACAAACAGGTTTATCCTGGAGAGAGTGAAAGCAGTTTGTTTTTTAGAGGCTAGGATTTTGAAGCTCTGTCTCATGTTGTCAGGAGGGACCAGTCCCTGGAGAAGGACACCTTGCTTGTAAGAGTAGAGGGTCAGCAGGTTAGCACAGAAGAGGAAGACTCTGGATGAGATGGATTGATGCAGTGACTGTGGCAATGCAGTCAGGTGTGTCAGAGACAGTTAGGTTGGTTAAGGATAGGGCAAGGTTCAGATCCATTGTTTATGAATAGTGTTGACAGGAGTTGTAGTTGACTCAAGGACTTTTCCTAAGAAATATCTTAGGATCTTGATACCATTTTTTTAATGTAATGTTGTTGTTGTTGTTATGTGCCATCGAGTCGCTTGCGACTCATAGCGACCCTATGTACAACATCCCTAAGCTCTGCTCTGTCCTGTGCCAATCACATCGTCTCTGATACACCCGTCCCCATTACCCCAGTCACTGAATCAATCCACCTCATAGGGGGCCTTCCCCTTCTGAACTGTCCCTCCACTCTACCAAGCATGATGTCCCTCTCCAAGGACCTGTCCCTCCTTGCAACAAGTCCAAAGTATGTTAGACGGAGCCTTAGAATCCTTGTCTCCAAGGAGCAGCCCGGTTTGACCCTTTGCAGGATGAATCTGTTTTCCTCGCAGTCCATAGTACCCTCAATACTCTTCTCCAGCACCACAGCTCAAAAGCGTCAATTCTCCTTCTATCCTCCTTAGTCATTGTCCAACTCTCTGATGCATAACAGGTGATAGCAAAGAACATGGCCTGTATCAGACACACCTTAGTCTCCAAAGAGACACCATTGCTCTTCAGTACTTTGCAGAGGTCCCTAACAGCAGGCTTTCCCATGGCAATACGTCTTCTAATTTCCTGGCTACTGGTGCCGAGAGTGTTGACTGTGGAGCCAAGCAAACTGAAGCTGTGAACAATCTCAATCTCTTCACCATCCATCCTGATGCTGCCAGTTGGTCCACTGGTGAGAATCTTTGTCTTCTTGACATTGAGCCTCAATCCATATTGTAGCAAGCGCTTCAGGTCCTCCTCAGTTTCAGCAAGCAGGGTTGTATCATCTGCATATCGCAGATTGTTGATTGATCTTCAACTAATCTTGACCTCACATTTCTCCTCATAGAGTCCAGCCTCCTGGATAATCTGTTCTGCATACAGGTTTAAAAGGTATGGAGACAGGACACATCCCTGGCATATACCCTTCGCAATTTTGAACCATGTAGTCTTTCCTTGCTCTGTTCTGACGACTGCCTCTTGGTACCAGTAGAGGTTTTTCATTAGCACGATCAAGTGTTCTGGTATTCCCAATTCTTCTCAGAGTCAGCCACAGTTTGTTATGATCCACACAGTCAAACGCCTTTGCATCACCAAGTTGTGCCAAGAAATCTGGAGAACAACCACTTGGCCAACTGACTGGAAGAGATCTATATTTGTTCCCATTTCAAAGAAGGGTGACCCAACAGAGTGTGGAAACTATAGAACAATCTCATTGATTTCACATGCAAGCAAGGTTCTACTGAAGATTATCCAAAAACGACTAGAACAGCACATCAGCAGAGAACTGCCAGAAGTCCAGGCTGGGTTTAGAAGGGGTTGTGGTACTAGGGATATTGTAGCTAATGTTATATGGATCTTGGCTGAAAGCATGGAGTCCCAGAGGAATGTCTATCTGTGTTTCATTGACTATGCAAAGGTGTTTGACTGTGTGGATCTGTGTTTTACAGAATGGCCATTATAATTTTTTTCCAATAAGAAGCTCTTAATTAGGGCTTAACAAACTTAAAGTTTTAATAAAATATTATAATACAGTATGTTTTAATTTGCGATCTACCACTTACCTGCATAAGAATAACCTGTGATACTTATGCAGGTACATACACACATTCTAGACTCAAACCAGGCAGCTCTGGTGACCTAGTGGTAAGGAGCTGCTCTGCCAAACCAAAAGTGTATGGTTCAAATCCACCAGCTTTTCCACTAGAGAAAGATGGGAAATTTGTTCCTGTGTGATTTACAGCCTCTGAAAACCTACTATTTACAGCCTACTAAAACCTACTATGAGTTGGTTCTGATGCAACAGTACATAACAACAAGAGTCTCTGCATAGGCTCAGTGGCCCATTGGCCCTTCATCTTTATGACAACAGTCATAGAACAGGGTTCAGATATTTTGTTGATAGGGTTGCTATGAGTCGTATATAACTAGATGGCTCCCACAAGTGACCCATGGATCAGTTCCAACACACTGAAAAGTATTTGATACGATATAGGCTAAAAGTAATCTAGTAGCCTAGTGGGTAAGGAGATGTGCTCCCAACCCACAGGCAGGTGTTTAAAATCCACCAGCTGCTCTGAGGAAGAAAGATGGGTAATCTCCACCCATTTGATTTACAGCCTTTGCAAACCCATGGAGATTCAGCTATGAGTCAGTTCCAACTCAGTTGCACATAACAACAACCTAGCATATGTTTAAATCTGGGGTGTCTATTTTCCCCTACAAAATCCTGAACCTCCAATCTTGTTTAGCAGCCAACCCCTTTACCTATTTGCAGAAGAGGGGTTCTTCACAGGGGTTCCTCACTAAAATCAAGAACCAAAGAGGCAAACAGTCTCTTAGATTTCCACTTCAAACAGTAGACTGTGAGCTTCTTCGCAACCATTTGTCTTTCCTCTTCTTATTACTTAGATCAGGGACTGGTACAGAAAAGGGAAACAAAACCAGACAACGAAAAACCATTTCTTTTTACACATCTTACTTTAATAGCCACTGAAACACTGACTTCCTCTCATCGACCCTGTCCACCAGTTACATTGACCTTCGATGAGTCACTATAGCAACATATATAAATATCTATTGTACATTTATACACACACCCAAACATCCTACAAGCACTGTGAGGATACAAACTAGGCTGTAGCACAACCAGGGCCTCTCATTTGCCACTTAAAGAAGTTTAGGTTTGCTTCCCACGAGACTTTGAATGGGCTTGTTCTGGCCGTCAGTCCCCTGGGTCCCCAGAGGGGAGTTACGGTGACAAAAGGGGACAGATTATTTAAAGTGTGGTTAGTACCATCTGGATATCATAAAGAAAGGAAATAAGAGACATGTTCTCAGCATGAGTTGGCCTCTACAACATCACTGCTTTTATCACGTGGTCTTGGAGTGCCTGGGTGCTGACTGAGGCCACCCTGACCACAGAGCAGCCCCGGCTGGGAGTGGGCTGCGAACAGGGCTCACACAGCCTCTGCCAGGCCTTGTCCATTGGCCCCAGCACCCAGCACTGTGCCCACAGAACCACTGAGGCACATGAATAGTTCATAGGAAGCAGGATGCTATTTCTCCTGAGTGGAGCATCTGAGGATGGGTGCTGAGGCAACAAACTTGTCTGTAGCTCGTTCCAAATGTCATGAACGCTGTTTAGAAGCAGTGTCACAAGGTCCTGCATGCAAACTAGGTGTGTCGGGCCTGGCGCTGGGTAAGGGGGTTTTGGCTAATGGTGTTCTTTAACTGTCCCACCAAGACACATTTCTGACTCTTTCCGGACCCTCCAGAAATAAGGCCTTGGCCCTCCTCAGTAGATAGGTAGCTGAGTTAAAGGGGGGCACGCCCACCCTTCCTGCTGTTTTAAGGATCTCTGGTGACTTCGTTTCTTGCATGGCTCCTGGAAGGCAAGGGTCATAAGACTGGAGTGCATGGCAGGGCCCGTAGAGATTTCACCTGGAGACAGAAGGAGAAGAAATGAGAAGTGGCAGAGCTAAGTGAGTCGTATGTCAGGGCTGTCAGGGTTTTGAAGGAGGCTGCAGTGAGCACTAAAGTGGAGTCAGGGCCAGGAGCACGGTGACAGCCTGTTAAGAGAATGAGCTCAAGGGATGCACTACAGCCTTGGGGGGCGGCTAGCATCCCGGGTTAGAGAAAGGGCTTCCCCCGCCTCATGCTGGTGATGACTCTGCTCAGAGCTGCTGAAGATAAGACTGCCGGGCCCACCACCACTGCTGCTCCTGGGCCCAGTCCACTTCGTCTGAAGCAAAACGATAGTCTCTGCCACCACCCAGGAAAAGAAGTGCTTAGCATGAACATGCACACATGAAACCAGCCTGTTGTGGGAAGAGGGGCCAGTTTGCACAAAATCCTGCTACATTTCTGTCCCATCTCCCTTCATGAGGAGAGGGAGAGGCTGAGTCAGCAAGGCTTCAGATCAGCTATGTCTACTTTGCCCTTTCCAAATGGAGACAAGGACTCACAGAGGTGAAAGTGCCAGCCAAAGCCACACAGCCAGTTAGTGACCAGCCCGAGTGGGAACCCAGGCCTCAGGCCCTTTCCACTGTCCTGTGAGAGTCGGGAGGAAAGCTCCCAGCAGGGATGGAGGCTGTTGGGTTACCTTTTCTGGGGCAGGAGTAAGGCTTTACAGAAGAAATCTTGTAAGTGTTCATCTAAAAAGGCTCAGGAAAGGAAGGAACCAGCAGAGAAAAAGAAAAGGGAATTAGGAAAGAAGCAATTTTTTAAAAAAAAAGATAAAAAGGCCCAGCCCATTCTCACGCTGTAGACATCAATAATGTCAGGAGTTACAATTTGGGAATATTTCTAGGATTCTGATCAGTTGCTATAGTAAAGTTTTAAACTCAAGGTAAAAGTCAGGGTTTCTGACTTTATAGTCAATTCAAACATCTCAAGTTCTTCTTCAAAATATTTGCCAAGGAATGCCTATGATATTTTATAACTAAATGCAGGAAATGCTGAGCATATATGTAAAATCTTTCCCCGTGAGATCCAAGGCTTTTTAAAAGTAAATACCTTTTCACTCAATATGACCCAAAAGCTCTTATTTAATGTTTCTTTAAAAAACCAAAATCCAACAAAGTACCAAATTGTTGCTGTCAAATCAATAGCGCAAGGTAAAATCAATTTGTTAGGAGGCACTTTGTTTTTAACTTCCTTTCCAATAGCAGAGAACACAGCACACATGAGGGGTTTGGGGTCTCTTTCCTGAATGTGAAGTCTGACTCCTCTCTGTCCTGTGACCCCAAGGATCAGCTGAACTTCACTCCTCTTCCTTTTGACCAGGTATTAAAAAAAGGGGACATTAGAACAGAAAGCAAAGAAGATGAGGACAATAGACAGTGGGGAGATGGGCCAGGGAAGGGGCTGACTCTGGGGAGGACTGAGATGGAAACAGAAGGATGGAGTTGAGGACTGTGACCCTCAAAGTGACAGAGCCTCCTGGAGGTCAGAGGCACAGGACCCCCGCAGCCTCTGATGACAGAGGGTAGTAGTTTGGGTGACTCTGTGGCTCTGACTGGTGTAATAGTTGCCTTACCTCTAAATTAGTCCTTGCCTTCTTTAAAACATCATGTGTCCTGGTCACTGAAATAGCAGAAGCGCAACAAAGCATTAACGGCTTGGCCCACATTTGCCTGTGTAAGAATTTCTTTCTATAGTGTTTCTTTCTGACCACTCAGCTTGGTCTCTCACTCACCCTGATCATCCCCACCTCCCTGCATCCACAGTTACTGTATTTCACAATCACCATATATAACTTGCCAGTACAAACAACTCACACACACACATAACACAGCATGTACAGGAAACCGAGGTGTGAGGAGGACGGATAGTTGTCAGTGCTGTGCAACTACACTTTGGATGTATAAAATGTGGCACTGATGACATGGGGATTGGGGAATGTCACACCATTAGCCCTCCCCCTGACACCCTCCCAGTCCCTCAACAGGCCATGCCCCTGGGCCCCGGACACCTACGTTGGCTGAAGATAAACTGCTCCATGCTCTCCTTCTGCTGGTTGGCAGTCTTCAGCTGCTCAGTCGTGCTCTGAAGGAGGCTCTCATGTTTGGAGAGTTTGGTTCTCAGCTCCAGAAGTTCCCTTTTCATTGACTCTCCCTGGGGACGAGGGACAGGGTCACCATCACAGCCTAAAGTGCCATCCTATGCTCTTTATAATTCAAAGGAGCTTCCTCCATCTTTTCTGCATCTTCTGCACTGAATTTCATTCCCTGGAATTTGCAAGCCCTCTGTTGTTGTTGTTGTTATGTGCCATTGAGTCGCCATAGCAACCCTAGATATAAAAGCTCTGAAGCCTGCCCTACCCTGAGCCAGTCTCACAGACTTCAACACACATCACCCGAGTTACTGTGTCAATCCATCTCATCCAGGGTTTTCCTCTCCTGCACTGTCCTTCCATCCTTCCAAGCATGATGTCCTTCTCCAATGACTTGTCCCTCCTGGCCACATGCCCAAAGTATATGAGATGGACCTTCAAAATTCTAGCCTCCAAGGAGTAACTTGGTTTCCCCCTCGCCAAGATAAACCTATTTGTTCTCTTGGCAGTCTATGGTGTGTTCAATATTCTTCTCCAGTGCCATGGCTCAAAGGCATCAATTCTTCTTTTGTTATGTTTAGTCATTGTCCAGCTTTGTGATACATAGAAAGTAATTGTGAAGACCACAGCCTGGATCAGGTGCACCTTAGTTTCTAGACTGACATCATTGCTCTTTAGCACTTTGGAAAGGTGACAGTAGACTTCCTCAGTTCAATTAATCTTTTGATTTCCTGACTGCTAGTACCAAGAATGTTGACTGTGGAGCTGGTGCAAAGTGATATTGAACAAGCCCTCTAACTGTTGACAATTATGACAAGAGCATTGAGTGGGAAAACAGAGCTCTAGAAGCACCCTGAGGATTAGCCCACGTCTTCACTTATGCTCTTGAGGAAAACTGGACTGCAGCCAGGGCTGAAGCTCCCTACCATGAACAGTTCAGCTTTAGTCCCGACGTCCTCAAACCACTTCTCACACAAGCGACCCTTGATAATTCAGGAATACTATGCCTCACTTGAGGACAATTTGCATGTCTACAAATATTTCTGCCAAATTGAAGATGGTAAAAAGCCTTCTCCCAGGAAAAAAAGTAGTTCCCTAAATTCTCTGAGACATATGTCTGGTGTTAGAAGGCCTGGAAAGGGGTCCTGGAATTGGCTTAGTCATCAGAAAGCCAGCCCGGGATCGACATGGGAGCACCGTGAGGAGACCGGCAAGTGTCAGCGGTGTGCTGGGGCTTCAGGGCAGTGCTAAAGCAGGGCCCAGCCTCATGGTGACATGCTGGGATCATATGTGACTACAGGGACCTGGGGACTGGAAGATGGAGGCAATAAAGCTTTAACATGGCTTTCATATCAGCTCAGGCAAATTTCAGAACATTAGAGACTGCTAGGGTTATTATGTGTCTGCCTTCTCCACATTCATTTGTTTTTTTCATTGATTTGGTATCCTAGGGAGCTCTGGTAGCCAAGTGGTAAGAAACTGCATTGCAATCCCAAAGGCATGCCATTCAAACCCACCAGCTTCTGCAGAGGAGAAAGATGGATAATCTCTTCCCATAGGGTTAAATGCCTCTGAAAACTCACTGGAAGGTCAGCTATAGGTCAGCTCTGACTTGGTGGCACACAACAACAAGGCTCGTGCAGGCAATAGGGGGAGGAGTCCAATCAGAACCACCCTGAGCACACCCGAGTGGGTCAGAGATCTCCATCCAGGGCCACTCCCACGGCAGTTTTCTCAAGGAAAGCTTCAGGACTGAGGGGAGAGGACAGTATCAGAGCTCAGTACAGGACACCAGCCTGATACTTACCACTTTGCTAGATGGAGCAGGGCTGCGGGTGTCTGGCAAGGCTGCTCGCCAGAACATGGTGAGGAGGGAGGCCGACTCCTCCAACATGTGGTGCAGGGCACGGGCACTGCTCCGGAGCTCCTGGGCATTCTCACTGCTCAGCACCTGGACAGGGAGCGGATGGACACACAGGGCTGAGAGGTCACTTTTTTCTGTCTCCTTCCTCATCCCAAGCATAGGGCTCAAGCTTCCTTCGGTGAAACATCAGTGGCGGTGGCGTATGCATGAACTTGGAACCCTTTCCAAACAGGAAACCCAGGATCGCCTATTGTAGTAGTGACTTCCCACTTGAAAGCACTTATTTGACTTAATCCCCATCCCCAAGCTCTCTCTTTACTCTTTCATCCAGTCTAAGACCTCCATTTTCATTTGTGCTGGCACCCTTGTCTCTTCCTTGAACCATATGAGCCGTGCCTTGGCTGAACTGGGTCATTTGTGTCTCCAAGCACTGAGGTGCTGCCCCTTCGCCTAGAATGCCATTCTCTACCTAGAGGATCTCTGTGGCCTAGTGGGTAGGTAATTATGCTACCAACCCAAAGACAAATGGTTCGAATGCATCAGCTTCTCTGTGGGAGAAAATCAATCTGCTCTGGTGTGATTTTGTCATTTTTGTTGGGTGCCGTCAAGTCGAACAAAAGATTTGAACTGTGCTCCGTCCTGCACCATCTTCACACTTCCTGACGCACAAGAGCTCATTGCAGCAGTCACCTTATCAATTCACATGGTTGAGGGTCTTCTCCTTCACCAACTCTCCACCCTTCCCAACATCATGTCCCTCTCCAAGGAATAGCACCTCCTAGCAACATATCCAAAGCATGTGAGGTGAAGCCTCATCATTCTTGCCTCCAAAGAGCACTCATGTCACACCCTCTCCAAGACATATCTGTTCTTTCTCTTGGCTGTCAGTCTCTTCTCCAACACCACAACTCTAAGGCATCAATTCTTTTTCTGTTATTCTTATTCATTGTCCAGGTCTCAGATGCATAGCTAGTAATCAGAAAAACTATGGCCTGAATCAGATGCACCTTAGTCCTCAAACTGACATCACTACTCCTCAATAATTTGGAAAGATCCCCAACTGCAGATTTTCCCAGTGCAATGCATCTCCTTATTTCCTGACTGATGGTACCAAGGGTGTTAATTGTGGATTCAAGTAAGATGAAGTTGTTGATAGTTTCAATCTCCTATTCATCCATCATGACACTGTCTATTGGTCTTGTAGTAAGAATTTTTGTTTTCTTGATATTGAGATGCAATCCATACTGAAGGCTGCATTCCTTGATCTTCTGCAACAAATACTTCAAGTCTTCCTCACTTTCAGCATGCAAGGTTGTGCCATCTGCGTAACACAAGTTATTAATGAGTCTCCCACCAGTCCTGAAGCCACATGCCTTTTCACAGAGCCCTGCTTCTCAGATAATTTGCTCAGAATATAGACTGAACAGGTATGGAGAGAGAACACAACCCTGACACACTCCCTTTCCAATTTCCCCTAAAAACCCCCTGAAGGGTCAGCTTTGAACAACAGTGATACTACCTAGAGAAGCTAATCAGCTTGAAAACTCAATTCCTTTTGATGCCTTCTGTTAAACTATGACTTTCCTTCCTTGATATAAAATAAACACATGTGTGTTTATGTCTTCCCAATACAAGGGTCATCTTCTGACACTATGCCTATTGCACCTCATTGTGTTCATTTACGTGAATGTGTATCTTCTCTGCTAGTGTAGCATCTCCTTGGAAGCAGAGACACATTCAAGCATCTCTCATGGCCTCAACAGCACAGCAACTGGAGCCCAGTATCTCTCAACAGGGATGTACTTTGAGAATCTGCTCAGACTGAACAAGGAGATGGCTGCCAGGTTTCTTGCGCCTTCACCACATGCAGACTGTTGGCATTAGGTACTGTAGAGTTGGCTCTGACCCATAACAGCCCTAAGCATAATACAACACAAATTTGTCCAGTCCTATGACATCCTTACAGCCCCTGCTGCCCTTATTAAGCCCATTGTTGTAGTCATTGTGTCAATTTATCTCATGGACGGTCTTCTTCTTTGTCTTCACCTCTGCTTTTCTAAAGATTATGTCTTTTTCCAAGGACTTACCCTTCCTGGTAACATGTCCAAAACGTACGAGTCAAAATGTCAACATCTTTGCCTGGATGCACCTCTCTCGGCTTCTGTCCATCTGGCTCAATGGTTTTATTCTGCCCACAGATGGATACGTGCCATTATGACAATGTTGTTATTGTTGTATACCTTTGAGTTGGAAGGGACTCACAGCTGACCCTCCAGCAGGTTTTTAGAGATAGTTAATTAGGCGGAAGCAGAATGCCCATCCTTCGCCCATGGAGCTCCTGATGGATTTAAACTATGTGCCTTTGGGATTGCAGCACCGCTTCTTACCACTAGGCCACCTGAGCTCCCTAATATGACAATAGATGATAGTAAACCACCAATGAATGCTAAAGCAGCACTGTATACACGTGGACACTTAACAAATGCTCTGCTGTGGATGATGGCAGTGGTACACAGGTGTTTCTATGGTACCAAGGGAACATGAAGTCAGCTCTATCAGGAACAGAATTGAGTTTACAGTGACAACAAAAGGTTAAGAAGAAAGCATCATTTGGGTTAAACAAAGGAGATCTCCACTATTGGAAGATGTAGAGGATGAAAGCAAAAGTGAGAGCAGAAAATAAAGTCAGAATAAAGGGCAAGCAGTTATGCATGCACCTCAGAACCACGCATGGCATTACCTCTGTGCCTTGAGCTTCAAGGCCAAGGAAGTTGCACGTTAATCTCATGAGAGATGTTATCTTTTTAACCAGCAGTTTGCCCTCCCCAATCTGCTGTTTCAGAGCACTGTAGTCATCGATGTGACCAATGACATGGCGACCATGCTTATTGGCAAAGGAGCCATCAGTGGCATCACCCTCCAGCTTGGGAGGGTCCTTTGTGACTGAAGAAGCATCGGAATCCACCTCTGTAAAACATAAACCCCCAGAAAAACAGAACCCAGTGTTATTCCTAAACATATCCTCAGTTCACTTCATTCCAAAAGACATCTCAAACCTGACAGATGTCAAGAGTACAGAGAAGTTTGCAAAGGTATTTTGGTTTCTACACTTTAATTTTTTTTTTCTGACATTATCTCATAGTGATAAAATTGCCAACATAAGACTATATTCTTATCTACAAAGGAAATATTCATTAAAGGGACTATTAACAAATAACATTTTTTTTCAGATAGAGAAGAAACAGATAAAACCATCAAACTTGATACAGAGAGGCCTATCAAGAATGGAGAGATGACAGTTTAATGACACAAAACTGAGCAATAGGAAAACCCTAGGAGGAAGAGGAATATCCTAGAAAGAGGGCCACAGAAGGTACAATGTGGGCTACAGGCTATGGAACACACAGAGAAGAATCTCCAAATTCAGATAATATGTACACAAAAACCAGAGGTGGCTTATATTGCTACTTCCATCATTAGCTTCTAGGTTCTTCAGTATTCATATTTACCATTTGTCCTATTGAAGATTGAAGTCTCTGAGCCAAGACCAGAGGATGAACTGGGGAAAACCAGAGCTGGAGAAGTCATGCCAACATCACGAACTGGAGGGGAAGACACAGAATCTAGGAAGGGAAGACCATGGTCGTTGTCAGGTACCCTGGAGTGCTCTGTCCATCACCCACATTCACAGCCTTAAGCTTGCCTCCAAAAGCAGCTTGACTCACTGCTTAAGTAAATATTACTCATATACCACAACCAAAAGAATTAGCATATAAATACCTTAATTTGGTTTGTTTCATTTCAGAGAAAGAAAAAAAAAAGTTGCTTTAATTGAAAAATATTCCAGGAGAAAACAATGTCTAGTTTGATACATTTTAGGTGTATTTTCTAAACCAAGTTTGGAATATAATTTTGCATGTAGTGTCTAACATGTTTTGTAACTAAATACGAATATGCATAAAGACACATATTAGATGCATTTAAAATATTAAATCAAAACTCAAATGGGTCAAGGGGTAGTTTACATTCAACATTCTATCATCATTCTGGTGAGCCGGGACCAGAAATTATTAACAGTGTGAGAAGAAAACATGACAGAAGCAGTGATGGGGGCCAGGAAGAACCTAAGAGAAGAATGGGAAAATGTCACAGAGAAGATGCCTTGGAGCCAGGTTTGTTGCTTGGGCTCTGTGTTGGGTGAGAATGAGGAGCAGTGTCTGAGCCAATGGGGTGGAGTCTTGGGAGGTGTCACAGAAAACGTGGGGACCAGGAAGAGAAGATGTGACTGAACTCGACAACCCCCATGGCCACCTCAGGCAGGGCAGGCCAGGCCCCCGACACGTGTCAGCAGCTTCTACTTGTGAAATGCTCTGCTTGGAGTTACATCAATGTGATCACATGCAAGTCACTTTCTTGTGACAAGCGAATTATTGTCTGATAAGTATGTATCTAGTTCAAAGAAAAAGAAGACTAAAGATTAACATGACCCGGGAAAAGCAGTCATGAGCAGTGACCGTCCCTGATTAGAATAAAATCGAGGATGTGGTCGTGGAAGTCAGTGGATCTGATGAGTCACTGGTGCATCCAAAGGAAAAGAAAACCAAAGGAAGAAGAAATGGAATGTATGGTGCTGAGGTGTAGAAAGAGCGTGAGTGTTCATGTTGAAACTTGCGGAAATACAATCATGAGAGATGTGCGGGTGAGAGGGAGAAAACTAGATAAGCATGCTGTCAGGAAGGCCAAGCAGGGGCACTGTTCTGAAAAGCTAAGAAAGGTCACACACAGAGTGAACCACTCTCAGAGGGCAACAGGGGTCGGGAGAGAGGGAGAGGTTGTTGTTATTGTTATAAGCCATCGAGTCGCTTGCAACTCATAGCGACCCTATGTACAACAGCCCTAAACTCCGCTCTGTCCTGTGCCAATCGCACTGTCTCTGACACTCCCATCCCAATTATCCCAGTCACTGAATCAATCCACTTCATAGAGGGCCTTCCTCTCCTGTGCTCTCCCTCCACCCTCCCAAGCATGATGTCCCTCTCCAGGAGTAGGCATTAAATAGATAAGTCAGGTGAGGCAATGGCAATCCACAAAAAGGATTGTTTAGGCATTGTACTTGATTAATGATGTTAATTAATGGCAATTCATGTTCTAAAACAAACTGTCTATGAATGATTGTACAAAAAACTAATATGATGTGTAAACCTTCACTCAAATAAAAGTCAATGAAAGAAAAAGAAAAGATAAGCAGGGAACAACTGCCCATATCTTTTAGGGACAGGAACACGTGGCTGCAGAGCTGAACATCTTGTGCATGAGGGAAAAGGAATCCAGGCTAAAGACTAGGAACAGATTGCAATGCTCAAACAGCGTGTGGTGGAAGGTAGAACACAGTCTGGGAATCAGAAGATGTGGTTCTCTCCCTGACTCCTACAAACCCTAGAAGGTCAGTCAACATCTTGAAATTTACATTTTCTCACTTGAAACACAGTGATCATAGAACTATCTCAGGTCAAATTATATCTTGGAGAACACTCAGTTAATTTGTGATCCACATTCTGAGCAATGCCTATTGTGCCAGGTACTTATAAGTAACGTCATGCAATGTTACAAAGAACCATACAGCCAGCCAGTTGCTTCTGAATTTATTCTGATTAATAGCAACCCCAAGAGTGTTTGAATAGAACTGTGTTCCATAAGGTTTTCAGGTGCTGATATTTCAGAAGTTGAATGTCAGGCCTTTCTTCCAAGGCACCTCTGGGTGGACTGGAACCTCCAACTTTTCAGGGAGTAGATAAGAATGATAAATATCTGCATCACCCAGGGACTCAAAAAAAGCCCATGCAAAGCATATATACATAGATTTTGTTGTTGCTGTTATGTCCAGTAGGTTTTCAGAGGCAGTAAATCACATGGGAGGAAACTATCTTTCACACACAGAGGAGCTAGTGTATTCAAACCTCAAGCTGTTCCATGGGCAGCACAATTCTTCACCATTGAGCCACCAGAGCACACATGCACTCGCGCTTGCTCTCTCGCGTGCGTGCGCTCTCTCTCTCTCTCTCTCTCTATCTATATATATACACACACATATACATACATAATTATATGTGCTGTTGGGTCAGAACTGACTCATATCTGACGCTCTAAGTGGGTTTTCAGAGGCAGTAAATCACATGGAAAGAGATAACCCATCTTGATAGATATGTAGATAGATAATCTCATCCACTTCCTAAACAACATGCCTCCGAAAACTCTATAACTATATGAACTTTGATAAATGTCAATAGTTGTAAAGGGGCTTCAGGCCTCTTGTTCATAGGGTCACTATGAGTCGTGCTTGACTCAAAGGCAATCACACACATGCACACACATCATCCTCAATTTTTTTTTAATTTTTATTACTTTTTTTTTTAATGTGTGTAAAATCAAATCAGATCTGACTGGTACAGGAGAAGATTGTCCCTCCTTCAGCAGAGCATCTGGTGGATTCGAACCTCACATCTCTGGGATTGCAGTGCAACTTCTTACCACTAGGCCACCAGAGCTCGCCACATCATCCTCATTTTAAAAATGTGGAAACCAAGGCTTAAAACTTTATAAGTTTAAATAACTTGCCAAGAAAAACAGCCCACTCCTGCTAAGCTCAGATTGCAGAGCCAGGTCTGACCCTACATCCCCAGCTCTCACTTAATGAGCTACATTAAAGTGTCTTCAAGTTCAGCATGACCCAAGATCATAGGAGATTCAAGACTGTCCCTTTTTCCTTAGACATCCCATCGAACTATCCCCTGGCCAAGTTCTTCCTCATTCTCTTCCCCTTCCTACCTTGGAAAAGTGGCTGCTTGTCCACAGGGTTAGTGTTAGCTGAGAAGTTCTGGGCCACAGAAGACGGACTGAGGTTGGCTTTGCCTGACCCACCATCCAGCTGTTGTTCCAGCTGCAACCGCAGACAGTTGTTCACCTGAATGCTCTGTTCCAGCTGCCCTCTCAAAGCTCGCACCTCTGCCACTAGCTGACTCAAGTCACTGCTCAAGGGGACTTGGTGGCAGGCATCCCAGTTGTAAGCTGAAAGAAGAGAGGGGTCTGATAGTATTTGTCCATATAGACACAAACGGCACATCAAAGCGTTTGTCAGAACACACTCACTAACATCTCTTTCTTCTGGGGACCACACTGTATCATCAGGGTTGTGGGCAATATACAATGGGAACACTCTGTGACAGAGATGGTATGATTTCTGTGAGGGGAATGAGGTATATGTGGAGGACAAACATCAAGGTATGAGTCTCCGTGAAGTTCACATGAATCCAGAGGGCATATGATTAACCTTAGAGCTATTGACCGGAGAGCAGCATCTTCCCAGGCAGGAGGTAAGCACTGGACTAGAAAAGGATAGGAGGGACTGAGGGGGAGGGAGATTTGATGTCTATCATGCTCAAAAATCATAGAGAAGGGGAGGAGGAGGAAGTCCTATTGGGAACATATAAGGGTGGGAGTCAGCACGATAGCCCAGGGTCAGAACATTGGAACTTTCAATCTCTCTATGGTAGCCTAGTGGAAAGAAGTTGTGCTGGCATCCCAAAGGTAGGTGGCTGGAATCCACCAGCTGATCCACAGAAGAAGGATGGGCAATTTCCTCCTGTGCAATTAATTGCCTCTGAAAACCCACTGAAAGGTCAGCTGTGAGTTGGTTCTCACTTGGTGATACACAACAACAACAACATGCATTTCCTCACAGTGAGGGATACATACACAAAATAAATGTTCTACAAGGTTATAAGCCCTTATCTGAAAACTGTGGAGCCAAATGTATTGTATAGACAAACATATCAAAATGGAGACATTGCTCTAGCTTTTAGCTACATTAACAGGACACTTGTATTGTATATATTAGATAATACTTCTGAGGCCACAGTCCCTATTCAAACCCAATAACATTTCTGCTGTTATTTGTATAAATCTTCTCACTAAACAAGATGAATGAAGACTATGAGTAGCTTTTTCGTTTCTATTTTGTCACCAAATGAATATATAAAAGGGCTTCAGATTCAGAGATCTTATGGAATTTTGGAATTAAGGAAGAAAGATTATAGACCTTTAGTCGTCAAAGTTTTAACATGAATCCTAAATGACTCATAAAAGGGAGAACAGGCGTGAAAGGGGTGGTCAGGCGTGAAAGGGGTGGTCATTCAGGATAAAGAAGTAACTTTCAGGAACGAATTCCAAAGCTCCATGATGATCTTGTTCTTCCCTTGGATCCAGATTTTTACCAGATTTTGCTTATTCTCTCTGGAAAGCGTTTTTTGTCTATCAAAAACATTTTTTTTTCTCTAAATAAAAAAGCAACAACACCTTAGAGGGGACTCTCATCATTGACTTGCCCAGAGTATTACTATGCTCGACCAAGAGATTTATCTGATTCAAATGCTTCCCACCTCCAGTGTATCGATCCACCCACCACTCTCACCATCTTGAAGGGTTGGGAGTTTCATCAGGAACATCTTTTGCTTCTCTAGCAGTCAGGAGGCCTCCTCTGCCGTATATGCACCATGTGCATTTTAACTTCCATGTCTTTGTGCATAAGCGACTCTCCTAACCTCATATGAATCTTGAGTTTATTCAGCAAGTTAGGACTCTACAGCTTCCCCATTGTTGTTGCTGTTATGCACCATCAGGTAGGAATCAATTGTTGTTATGTGTCATCAAGTTAGAACCAACTCACAGCTGACCCTGCAGTGGGTTTTCAGAGGATGTAAATCAATGAGCAGAAAGCTGCTCACCTCTCACCTGCAGAGCAGCTAGTGGATTTGAACTATCTGCCTTTGGGTTCACAGTGCAACTTCTTACCACTAAGCTACCAGAGCTCCCTGTAGCTTTCCTAGATCTCCACAACTCTCAAAGAAAGAGTTCAGCTGGCTCCTACGTAAGGGGAGGAAGTTCATACAGAGGTGAGTGGGGAAGTGGGGGGGGGGGGGAAGGGGTTTGTGCGGGGAGAAGGGTGCAACAATGAATGAATGGAATCCCAAAATCTCTGTAGATGTTCATTGGAAGGAGCACATACCTTTCGGCCCAGTCTTGGAATTGCCATACAGGACCTCATAGATCTGGAGCTCAGACTGCAGGGACTGGAAGAGCTGCTGTTTCTCTTCACACTGTTGCTGCAGGAGAGTCAGCTTGTGCTGCAGCCTGTGGGGGAGAAGCAAGGGCCACTGGCCGGTCAGCACCACCTGGCCACACCAGGGCGAGAAGCTGGCAGACGGCCTTTGCCTCACTGAGCATTAGCCTTGCATGTCAAATCAGAGGTCGTCATCGAGTTGATTCTGCCTATGGTGACCCCACATGTTCAAGAGTAGAAGTGCTCTATGGGGAGTCCTAGGCTATAATGTCTAAAGAAGTATACCTACCACCAATCTACTTCTTTCTTCAGTAGCATTACTGGTTAGATTTGAACTGCCAACTCAACTCACTGTCGTTGAGTTGGTTCTGACTCATAGCAACCTTCCATCACATTTCCAATGCTGTAAGGCCTAATGGGAGGAAACTGCTCATCTTGCACTCAAGGAGCCGTTGGCAGATTTGAACCACTGGGCCTTTTGGGTACCAATGCTACACATTATGCACTATGTCACCAGAGCTCTGTTTGAGGTTGGTAGTCTAGTGGAAATTATTTGCACCACTCTGGGACCTAAACAAACAAATCCCAACCTACTGCCATTGAGTCACTTTCAATTCATGACAAGCCTCTATTTGGTTTCTGAGATGGAGTATCATTATTGGATACTGCCTCATTTTTCTCCTGTGGAGTTGCTGGTACATTCAGACCAACACTCATTTGGTTAGATGCCCAGCATATACTGCACGACACCACCAGTGCTCTGTAAAGTTACCCACAGATCAGGAACAGGCAGAGGAGAAAAGGAGGTTTCCAAAAGATGCTGTTGACTCTCCTGCCAATGTCTCTTCTTCTAGATTTGGAAGTGAGGCCACTTTCCCGATGTGTGGGCCAGCTCTTACCTGGAGTCTTTCTCCTGAAGGGATAGCCTTTCTTCCCGGAAATGCAAGACCTCTTGCTGCTTCTCCTTCAAGTCATCCAGAAGCTGCTGCTGTTCTACCTTCTGGCGCTCCAGCTCCATTTCCAGCTCTTGAAGCCGGGACCTTGAGGACAGCAGTGCCTCCCTCAGGCATTCGGTTTCCTGGGAGTGCTCTGGTGAGAAGAACACAGGAGTGTTTTACATTGAGGGAACATGGTCAGTAGGAAGATGAAACCAAAAACATCTATCAAGAGGTGGAAGGAAGCTGAAGGGAAGGGAGGTCCTGTGATTGTGGACAAAGAGCAGGCTCGCACACCTCCACTTTGTCATGCCTTTAACATTCTGGTTTAAACTGTTCTGAGAGAAAACATTCTGGTTTCTATGCTCACCATTTTCGAGGTGCCCACTGGCCATCTGCTTAATAATCTATTCTTGAATTTTGCCAGTGATCAACATCAAGATGTCTTGTCTACAATATTCACAAGATAATATTTTCACCACTGAGGAAACTGGACATTTGCCCTTTTCTTTAATCAGAGCGTCTCTGATCATTGCGATTTCTCATAGGCTATTGGCAGGGACTCTAAGATTAAGGCTGCATGTTTCATGAGTCCTCTGGGGTGGAACTCACCTGGGTGTGACAAACTGTACTCATTTGACTCTCATCCAATACTTCCTCTTGTGAGGTCAATTTTATTCTTCTCAAGCATGCAATGATAGTTCAGTAGCTCTGACTTCTCTCTTATCTAATTTTCGTTCTCTTCCCCAGATAGTGGCCTTCATCTCAAGCCTGCGTGTTCTGAGTGACTAATTTAGACAGATCTCTTGATTTATTTTCCTTTTCCACAGGCATTCTTTCATTCTGGACTCAATTCTTTTGGGCACTATTCTTAGTTTTTTATGGCTGTTGAGTAAATATTTGTAAACAGAAATAATTTATTATTGATATACTGATCAATTAACACTAGGATCTACAGTCTCTCTGACCACAGAAGAAATGATGCTCATTGAAGTGAGTTAGAGAAGCTTTGGAGGATATATTGCTAGTGTTTCCAGACACAAAAACATCAAGAGTACTGTCCTGAGAGAGTGATCCTGAGATCATGAGTCAGGGGTCGTGGTGAGGAAGTATAAGAATAACAGAGTTGCAGTAACAGATGAACAAACTTGAGAGGGAACACAGTACTTCCCTTTCTTCTTTTCCCAGTTCCAAATCAAGAATCAAGAAGGAGAAGAGAACTAACACTAAACTGCTATCCAAATAGATGACTAGTGAGTGACTCTCAGGATCTACAATGGCTTTCACAGAACTATGTGTTCCTGAATCATCAGGTTCTAAGAGCTCATAGTTGAGACCTCTTGGAAAGTAGCCCTTGCTAGAACGAGCGTAGTTATAGAGTTTAGGGTCAGTGTATCTGGGCAACGTGGTTAGCACCATCTTCTCTTTCCTTCTCCCACTGATAACTAGTGTGGACAGGTAACTAGAGAGTCAGGAGTCACCACAGTCCATGGTTTTTGACCACTTACCTCTAGAAATGTGACTCAATTGAGCCTGAAGGCTCCGGTTTTCTTCCCTGAGGGCCCTGTTCTCATTGTAGAGCTGAGGAATGGAGTCCAGTCCCTGACTGCAGAAGTTCGTAGAGGAGCCTGTCCCAGAAAATTCAATGAGGCAAGTTATACATTTGGGTAACAGATGCTCACAAGAAGTTCATCATTCTGTATTTCCTAAAGGTACTGTCACCCCTAGATGGAGGCTCATATTTGTTTTTCACATGTCTTTTCTCAGGAGTACTTGATATGCATCTACTTGTAAGACCTGCAGATTGTGTAAGAGGCACAGTAGTTGCCTCCAAAGGGTGAGCAAAGCAAATGTGTGTGCAAGGGATGGTCTCCGAGTGACAGTAGCCCACAAGAAGAGCAGAGGGAGAAGGACCAGCTCTGGGAAGTGGCAGAGGGGCTCGTCTTGAAGACCTGGACTCTATGACTTGTCAATCATGTAACAAAGTCACATGTGAGCAATTACAAGACAAGATGAGAGGTCAGACCTCCAGGAGCTGACCTAGCTCTGCCTGGGGGAAAGTCACTCTCAGAACCCAGATAAGGCCATCAAGTAGGGCAGTAGTACCTGTCTCATGCTGGACTCTTTGTAAGGAACAAGCGAAATAAAGTGCTTTGGAAAAGGCCAAAGCCCTGCTCAGGGTTCAGAAGTTTCCTAAAGGTGGCCCTAAGTTGAGGAAGCCCGGTGGTGTCTCCTACCGTTTCCTCGGGCGGTGGAGCTGAGCCGGTGTTCCAGCTGCTCCCGCAGGCGGTCGTTGATGCAGATGGACTCCTCGAGGCGCTGGCGCAGGTTCCGGATTTCACCCAGATGCTCCTCCAGCAGATCGGCCCCTGCAGCCCCCAGCAGTGCAGGGAGGCAGATGGGAGAACTGTGGTCACTGGTGAGGCCAGGGGCTGGGGCTGGGCCACTGGCCCCTTAGCAACATCCCCAAACATCATCAACCCTCTGCCAACTTCATCCTCTCATGGATAACCAGGTTAGTTCTGTCTAAAGAGTATGTGGGCTTTAAACACAGGATTGCCCCAAGCTAAACAGCCACATGAGATTTGGTAAGTTGCTGGGAGATCCACATGAGTGAGAAAAATAACTGTAAGCTCCTGGCAGGGCCTGCCCAGCACCTGGGAAGGTGTCATTGCTCCTAAGTGTGGCTTTGAGGGTGATAGAGGAGACCTCACTCTCTATCCTAATGCTTTCTTCTTACTGATTGGTGACTACACATTTTTTAGTAGGGGATGGAGGCTTTGCTGCACCCTTAGAAAAATAGACCCAAGATAAAGATATATGAACTTAAGCTTATGCCTAATGAATGGTACATACCCCTCCCTCAAATCACTTTTAACATAGAAGGAAGAAAGAAAGGTGGGCCTCCAAGGATCTGGGGAACTGAAGGTAGACAAGGAAGAAGGGACACATCTTCCCTTGTACAGCTTCTCCATCAAAAAAAGGAAAGCGATGTTCAAGAAGAAAAGAGGGGACAGTTCTAACAACAGACATCTACTGTGCTACTGTGTTACAGTCTTCCCCAGAATATTACTATGTTCTTATTGTTGGAACTAAGCTTCATCTGAATCATCATCTCTCTGTTTAGTGTGATGTATCTTAGCCTCAACATTGAGTGATAGGAGTAAGAGGGAAAGTTGAATTCTGTGCGCAAAGTATATGTGCATGCATCAGGGAAGAGCTGTCGTAAAAATAGCCTCTCTTTCTCCATCAACTCCTAGCAGATGGAAGAAGGTCCCTGTGAGTGTGTGTGTCTAAGGCTGGATGGGGGAGGCTTGGGGTGCACTGAGCAAGGACGTGAATGTCAGAGCACAAGAGGCAGATTGCTGACTTTCCTATTTCCTGTAGAGTACTAAGGGCCAGGACAGGGAGGATGACAGAGTGCACCTCGAAAGGGCCCAGCATTGGGGGGCAGCCTTATTCTTGGAATGAAAGTGAGGTGGAGTGGGTCTGTTACGGCTTTTGTTGCTTACAATGGTTTTCCTCAACCATTGTCTAGCCAGCTGCCTTAACTCTGTCTGGCCTGCAAGCATGTTGAGCTGCCCCAGCTGCCTCAATTCAGCCTAACATGGTTTGTCTACATCATCAAGAGCTGTGTGAGGCCCAGACTCGGAGCTACAGGAAAGCAGTGCAGCCTCAGTAGAGGAGGCTGGCCGGAATGATTTGTTGACTTAGCCCAAGCTTGCTGGAAGTTGAGAAGTAGTTTTCTGGACTAAGAAACAGTGATATTTGTCTGATTTGGGATTGCTGCTCATTCATTTAGATGTATCTGATTTGGGACTGCTTTTCCAAGGAACCTGAGCTAGAGGCCTTCACCCAAGCTTGCTGGAAGATTGAGCGATTTGTGATTATTATGTATTGTTGCCAATCAGTAAAGGCTGTTAATGTTGCCTGGACTGAGGGATTGTGTGGTTATTTACTGTATACTGTTTCTTGCTATCCTGAGTTGTGGTCTATTGACTTCCCTAATGACTCCCTCAATCATGAGTACGGTATTGCAAAATCTTTGTGGTCACTACAATGAATTTCAGACCCAGTTACTAGTAAAATTGTTGTTAGAATTGTTGGAAGTGGGTGCAGGGGTATGGGAGACCGTGTCAGGCCTTGTAGCTATTAGTTTGGCATTGCAGATGTTGTTGATAGGGACAGCTGCCCTTTGTGGAGTCAGGAGAAGTCAGACTTAGTCATCCCCATGCTGATCTTGGTCCAATTTCAGACAGACATAAAAAGGCCCTTTCACTTTATACCCTTCTATGAGCCAGACAGGAAGAGAGTAGACTCTGAATCAGATTTCATTTCACAAGGTGACCGTTCCCTCTTTTTGCTGTACCTGTGGGTTTGGAGTTAAGCTGGTACACAGAGGAACCTGAGGATAAGTCTCCAGATACACTCCCTTTCTGAGGCCTCATCATGTCCCATGGGCCACGGCTGCCCAGGTACCCAGGATCCAAGATTCTGTCCAAGTCTCCAGTGTTTCTTGGAGGAGAGTGTGACTGGGCAGGATTAAGGTTGGGGGCAGAGTTGGCTTCCAAATGGTTACTTGGCAATGTACTTAGGGAAGCAGGAGGGCCAGTGCTGATGCCTGGATGGAAAGAAACATCAATGAGAAACTAATAGAGTAGTCCAAAGGAAGGATCGGCAAGGGAGTGTGGAATTGCTAAGGACAGAAACCAGCAGGGGCCAAATGGGAAGTCAGAGATTCCAGTTCACTGTGGAATACCAAGTAGGCAGAGACATTTGGTATTCCTAGAAAGTTATAACTTGGAAACTTTTATTTTCAACCCAAGAATCTCCTAGCATGAAACAAGATGTAGAGAATGGATAATGTACCTGAAACACACAAACATACACAAACTGTCCAATGACCCTACTCTTAGTTTCTTCTATAAGTCTTCATAATAATGTACCGAAAACTACAGAAGTAGAACTCACTCCCAAAGGTTGGGAGTCAAGAGTTTAACAGGACACTATATTGAACATATTTGCCTACATGTATTTGTGGTTCCCCCAAAAGTATCCAGCCCATACGTCCATTCTTCCACAGGAATGTCAGAAGAATGGGACAGGAAATATAGTTGCACGTGATAGGCCCATTGCTCCAGACTGCAGAGGTTTTGGGGGAAAGTCTATGTAAAATCAAGTGGTGATCTGGATCGCATCCAACATTATTAAAGGAAATGTAAAATCTTATCATTCTTGTCCAGAGAATATTGCACCTTCTTAAAATCAGGGAAAAGTGACCAGAAAACTTCTTGAGTGGATTTTATTAGAAATGCTATGGAATCATGGGTCCATTATCTTCTTGTTGCCAAAAGCTAAACCAGCCAATCTCTCTACTACTTCTATGAGAGTATTAGAAGAAGACGACTTAAAGTTTAGCTAGATATTATAGCTCCCATTACCCCAGACTATAGAACTCTTGGGGGAAGTGCTATGTGAAAGTGCCCCATCATCTCTGTTTCTATGTATAAAGGAGCCTAACTTTGGGTAAGACCATGGTTTGGGAGAAATGCAGAAATTGCTTTCTTTCAGGGGACATCCCCATGGGTGGCAGCATTGACAAGCAGCTCTACCAAAGGAAGCAGGAGTGAACGAAACCTCTGGATCCTCGAATCAAGTCAAATTCCTCAGAAGAATTAATACTATTGGCACCTACATTTGCTCCCTCAGCTCCCGCCCTTGTTTCTGTTTCTAAAATTTGACAGCATATGGGAATGTGGGAATGACTTAGGAAAAGAAGAGGGAGTAGATGTACTGATGCCCAGGCTCCCAAAGATTTTGGCTTTAATTGATACAGGGTACAGCTCAGACAATGGATGCTTTCAAAATTATCCCTGGTGATTTGAACGGGCAGCAAAGGGTAGGGCTATCCTTTGTCAACTTCCAAAAGATAAGTTATTCCTTGGCATCACTTTGAGTCAAAAGGAAAATGAAAATTTTAAGTATCTAAATTTTAATATAGATTCAAAAGATATCATTTCATTCCTCTTTCAATTTCCCCCCACCATAAGAAGGCAAAAGGAGAAATCAGTGGTGTTAGCCAGTCTGCTTACTTCTTCACCATGGTTCCAAGTCTCTCAGAAACAATGATAAGTATTCTCATATTTCTATTTCCTCTGGCCATATGATAGAGCACATGCCTGAAACCATGCACAGACACCACACAGACCAGCCACAAGCCAAGGAGCTATTAGCCTCACAGGGACTTAGAAAGTTGCCATGCCCCACTGTCCACACAGAAGCTTAGTTTAAGCAAACAAGGAGTGCTGGTAGGGATCTTCAGGTGGTCCGGACGGTGTTGTGAGGCAAATTATAGGCTGTGATCCTAGGTCACTGGTCACACTTTGCGTGGGGACCCTTGCTATCACTTACCCAAGCTTCTCCATAGGCACCTGGTTTGAGAGAATGTAAAACTCTTGTGTGTCTGTGTATGTGTGTGTAAAACTATTGGAAAGGAAAGAAATTTGTGACCAAATAAGGGTTGTTGTTTTTTTTAAGCTATAAGTGATCACACACAATACACAAATGTATGATGACCAAACCAGTGCATATATCCCCCCAACAACTTTCTAAAAGATGATTGTACACAGACCAAGAATTGCATGACTACATATAATCAACTATCTTTAGGAGTCCCCAGACAGAATTCACTGGCAGACATCATTCTGCTTTGGCTTCTGGTTCTAGTGGGCCAAGAATCACCTGTCCAGAGCAAGCATAAACTTGAGCCATAGGAAAACAGGCTCTGTCACCTTTTCTTCTGAGCCCCTCCACCACCACCCATTTTGCTCCCAACCTGATGGCGTCAGGATCTGGACTTGTTAAGAGCATGGCACAGCAAGAGGCCATAACAGCCACACAAAGTATCCCAGTGAACAGGGACACGTTTTCATGACCACTTTATACTGCACGTATTTTCTGTTCTTGTGTGCCATTACGTCAATTCTGACTCATAACACCCTACCTTGCAAAGACACTAAGCACCCTTCTGAATCCTACTAGCAAATATTTCACCATTTGGCTGGGGCTTCAGGACACCTGGTAGAGCACCAATGTCAACAGTAAACGAGTTCCAGGTTTACTGCCTGCCCAGTGAAGGCATACACTGATTAACTGATTAGACACATGCTAGGGGGAAAAAAAATCAGTAAATATATTCCACAACAAGCAGAACCTTCCCTAAAGATCTCATCTGTAACATGTATCCCTGTGTTATTATTTGTTTAAACTCTGTCAGCAAGACAAAGCCATGCAGAGCCACCCGCAGCGTGGGGACAGCAGCCGCAAGCACACAAATGCAGCAGGAGGTGCTCACTTTCTCCCAGCTGCTTCTGCAGCATCTGCAGCTCCTGCTGAGCCTCGGCCAAGGAGAACCCTGGTGTCTCGGAGCACCCGAGGAGGGGAGGGCCTGGGGAGCTGAAGGGCAGGAAGCTGGGCGGAGCGGAGGGCAGTGGAGCCTGGGGGAAGCTAACCAGCTTGGGCATGGAGTTAAAGTGAAAGCCTAGAAACAGAAATGTGGGGAGAAAGAAGAAACACCATTAGAGAGAAAGTAAGAGCAGCAAGAATGGATAAAAACCTGAGAGCGTGGACCTGTTCCCTGAGCAGTGGCTGTCATTCAGGGCAGGGCAGGCTGAGATGGGCAGGGGTGATCACTCTTTTACCGGAGCTGGCCTGGCTGGCTCCTCCACCTTTTCCATGTGTGATGGTGACCTTGCACCTATATCCCATGTGCATCTTGAGAACAAATGGCTACAGAAGGAAGGTGGCATTTCCAGAACATGGGCAGGTGCCCGAGTACCTTTCAGAGTCCCTTCCCAGCAATCCGGGGCCTGGCTGTGCTCGAATACTCTACAGGACCCTGGGGCCTGACTCATGGTGACCGCAAGTGTCCAAGAAAAACTGCGCTCCATATTCAAGGCTGTGATCTTTTGGAAGTAAACTGTCTAGGCTTACTTCAAAGGTCTTCTGGGTGGGTTTGAACCATCCACCTACTGCCACCTGCTGGGTGGGAAATGGTACAGCGCACAACCGTGGGTGCTACCCAGGGACGACTGAATCAATCATTCACAGAGAGGAAGGCTCAGACATTTACATTTTTTAAAGTTTTACGGGTGACCAATATAAAGGTCTTTAGGAACCCTGGGAGTTTAGGCTGTTTGAATCTGCTCCAGGTTCCTTAGCCTATGAAGAATGCCTAATCATGTGAAAGACAATGGCTGCATTCACAAATGTGTCTTTTTCTTCCTCTAGGGTGCTGACACTGTATCAATTGTTATATAACAGAAATCAAAGGCGTGGTGCAATTGTCAGGCATTTGGTTGCTAACCCAAAGGCTGGCAGTTTGAATCCACCCAGTGCTCCACAGGACAAAGGCCTGGTGATCTGCTCTTACAAAGATTATGGTCTAGAAACCCTATGGGACAGTTCTACAGTGGTTAGGAGTCAGAATCAACTCAACAGCACAAAAACAACACCAACCTTCTGCTCTCTTTGGCCCCAAAGCATTTACACAGATGTCTGCAGCTCTGGACAGCTTTCCCCACTGATGTATGGGTTCGGCTTCTAACCATCCTGGCCAGGATGAAGATTTGGGATGCTCCTTTTTCTTAAAGTTTTCATTGGCTTGTGCTCAGGAGACATTAAGATAGCAGAGGGAACGTACTGTGCTTTCTGAGAGTTTCTCTGCCTGAGTCACACCTCCTTCCCAACCACCCTGGAGGCAGCTGGCATTTCTGCAGGAGTGAGGAGGTGAGAGGAGCTGTGGGCAGCACTGTGGCTGAACAGTGCATGCCTGGCAGCTGCGCGAGTGCCTAGGAAACACACCCTCTGTCGGCCCCAGGGCACACATTCCAAAGGCTGCTCAGGTATTTATAAACGTGTGAATAGTAACGCCATGGGGAAAGAATCCTGCTTCACTGGGAAAGATGAGAAAGGATTTGAGTCTGAGAATAAGTGGCAGCCAGAGAGAATGAGGAAAAACAAAACTGGAATAGAAAAACTGAGTAGCCAAGGGGCTTGGGAGAGGGATGAGCCCCATCCCTGCTTACTCCCTGTAGTTCTGGAGGAAGAGGGCTGTGGGCAGAGTGTGGGCCATAGAATTCAGCTGCTCAGGTAAATAGCCACCAGTCGTGAGCTGGTACTATGGGTTATAAGATGCAGCAGGTCAGCATCCCCTGCTCTGAAGGAAGTGTCACTACCTATTCATTCAGAAGCTCACTGTGCAGGTGAAATGGAGGCATGTGGGTGGAGAGCTTGGAAGGAACAGGTGATCAGCAGAAGGGATGTGGTATTTCATTTTTCTCCTTGGTTACTGCCATTCTAGGAGAAACACTTTGACTCTTTTCTTCCCAGAATGAAACGAGGGAAAGGAAAGAGAATATTTATTTTCTTAAATGAGTAGCAAAAAAACTATAAAAGAATAAATAAATAAAAAGATAAATAGACACTTGGGTTAAAGCCTACTACATATCACTTATTTTCTCAATTATTTCAAACAAAACAAAAAATCAGACACACATGAGAAATTCGAATAGCCTCCTGCTTATCTGAGATGTGATATTATGACTCCCTGGCAGTTCACATTTGTACCTGAGAGAGAGGAGATGGAGTGACTTCCCCATGGGCTGGTGCATACCTGAATGGGCCTGGCTGGACTCCTTGGGGGGACTCTGGGGAGTTGGCATGCTGATGGGGTGGCTGCTGGATTCGGCCTTAGCACCCTGAGATGCACTGGATGGTGATGGCTTAGAAGACAACACAGCAGAATGACTCGAATGATGGATGGAATCTATAAACCCATGAATGAAAGAAAATGTTTGGTCTTCCACTGAGAAGAGGAATCAGGCCTTAGATTACTCAGAGTCACCAGGACTAGCAGTGTTCATTTCCTTGCCCACTGGTGAGCTCAGGGGTGAGACAAGTCACCTTGGGGGTGATGGTGAGGTTCAGAGCTCTGAAGCCCAGAAAAAGAAGCCTCTGAAAATATCAAGCAAAACTGATAGCATCTGTGGACACCCACAGACGTACAGGGTACATGGTTCAGGAACTGATATTATTAAGATCATTGCAGAGTGGTAAGATGTCCCTTCTTAAAGCAGGTCTAATGGATGGACGCTGTGCACACGAGGCAGGGGTTGAGGGAGAGCCTGCCATGATCTCCCCACTCCCCTGCTAGGTCTTGCCTTAGGTCCAACACCACATGGCTGAGGTGACTTCTGGAGTCAGAAAAGGAACAAGGATTCCTGACCCACTAGGGTCTGTGCTTGGCACTTGGATACAGATCCATGTCTGCCATGATACACACCGGGTGACTCTAGAAGGCCTGGTGTCAGGGGAAGGTCTAGGGAGAGGCCCTCAGCAGTGCAGCTACCTGAGTGTGTGGGTGAAGCTTTCTTCTCCTCATCGTGAGTGTACTCGCTGGCTGTGTCCATGTCAGAGCTGGCATCTAGGTCATCAGACAGGAAGGATGTGCTACTGGGAGAGCGATGGGAGTCAGACAAGGCCCGGCTGCTGGAGGGGGTTAGGGACCTGGCATCCAGTTTGGCCTGCAGGACTTCAATCACTTTCTCCTTCTCCTGCAGCTCCCTGCTGAGCCTGGTGGGTGAGGCAGACAGATGAGATTCAAAGGCCACCTGGCCAAGGCCAGTGAGAGAAGTCACAGGACCACAGAGACTTGGAGAAGTGCTCTGTCGCCTAAGGCACATTCATGACAGTAATGTTCAAACCATAGGCTGCAACTAACCCTGAGCCCGTGTTTTCCTGACTGTTGAGAGTCCCAGAATTCAGTTGCTCAGAATATAGGTGCTCAGAGATCTGCAGCCTGCAGTTCTCTTTCATTAGGGAACATGGTTTTCTTTTCTTCTAAGGAAGCTGTTTAATTAGTTTTGAACCCAGTTTGGAACAGGCCAACTGTCTTAAAAGTTCACTCTATCTTGAAACAAATACAGGAGAAATGGGAGGCCCCTGAGGATATTGAAGATGCCTAGAGAGCTCTGGTGGCTTAATAACAAAAAGCTGTGCTTTAATTCCAAAGGCATGAGGTTTGGATTGACCAGCTGCTCAACTGGAGAAGGATGGACAATCTCCTCCCATGCGATTTATTGCCTCTGAAAACCCGCTGGAGATCAGCTATGAGTTGGTTCCGACTTGACAGCACACAACAACAGCACAACCTGGCTAGTTCACATTAGGTCAGACTGACCGTCAGTTGCCATCTCTGGCAAATTAATGTGTAAATAGAAACCAACAGAATCATATGAAAGAGAGCAAAGAATTCCATTAAGTCAATGTTATCATTGCAGCATAATTCCTTAACCACTGGGCCACCTGAGCTCCCTAAGCCAATATTAAGGTGTTAAAAAAGCAAGTGAATCCATCACAATTAGTTGGGGTATTTTTTTCACAGAATCAGGAAGTTGCAGCTACCTTTGACCTCATGATCCTTGACACTGATTTCTTTAAAAGATCCTATTATAATCTGAATCTGGTGGCCTAACAGTTGTAAGGAGTTGAGCTGTCCATCAAGGGCTGGCGGTTCAAATCCACCAGCTGCTCCACAGGAGAAAGACGGGCAATCTCTTCCGATGCCTCTGAAGACTCACGGGAATGTGAGTGATCATGATTTTTACCTGAGGGCCAGCGGTTCAAGTCCGGCTTGATTTTTCTCACTTTTGTGATCCTCTGTGAACAAAATTCAGAGAGAAAAAGTAAGAAATCAAACAGGTCTCACATCTAAGAGCACAGACATTGGGGCCAATGAGGGGTTTTGCTTGTGGGGTTTTGCTTGTGTTTTGTTGTTGGGTTGTCATTTTAATTGTTTTATGTGGGCTTTGAGGATACCCTGGGAGAACTGCTCTGGAAGGTCCCAGCCTGTGTCTCTGGAGGGGGGGCCTAATAGGCTTTTCCGAGCTCACCAGCCCAACATGCTCTGACCTGCTGATCACTGACTTCCCCTGCCTAGAATCGGGGTAAAATGGCTGTGACTCAGCGATCTTGGACCCTTGCCCAGCTGCCATCTGGAACATTCTAGCCTTCTCCAGATGCATGGCTGTACACCTCATCATTCTCATATAGAACTTATTTGTGTTCCTGAGGAGATGACAACCTACCCTGTCCCATCTCTGCCCCTGTCCCTTGGAGATGGAATGTTCAGCCCCCAGCTCTGAACCTGCTGGACTCTTCCACGTGCTCTCAGGAAATTCTCTCTAAATAAAGCATTTCTGTAGAACTTAACCCTGGTTCTACTACTGCACATGGTACCCTAACTATGGCCCAAACAGCATGGCACTCTTCTTCATATTCAAAGGATATTCACCTGTAATCCATTCAATCAATAAGGACTTCTGCACCAAATGAAGGAGCAAAGACACAAGAGGAAAAGTCACTTGTTCAAATGACAACATCCAGACTGTCGCTTGGGCCCTGTAATTTTCAGTTCAGGATTCTTTACACTACAATTAGCTCTTCCTTTCTTTTCTCTTTTCCATTCCCTTTGTATTTGATGAATGCCGTCTCTTTCCTCAAAGTTCAATTTTAGTGGATGATGATGATTCTACAGTGTGACCTTGGCATCTCTAACCTGTTGTGTTCATCCTGGATGATACCCACCAGCCAGCTATTCCTGAGCCTGTAATAGCCCCAGGAGGAGGACACACGGGTGTAAAAGCTGCTCAGGGACATGCAGTGGCCTCCTGCCCTGGGATTGGGAAAAGGATAAAGAGTATTGCAAACACCCGGGGTCCACTCACTGGTGCTGAGCTTGCTGGTGAGCCTCTCAGCCAGCTGGCTGCCCTGGGCGAGTTGCTCCCGAAAGCTCTGCCCGAGGTAGTAGTCGATATCATTACTCCTGAGGAGGTCCTCGAAAGACTTTATTGCGTCTTTCACATGCTGGTTGAGAAGGTAACAGATGCCTCTCCCTTCTCGTATTTTCTGCCGTAGGTAGGATAGTTCTCGAGCTTGATCTTGAATCAGAGAATTGTATTTCCTAACGTAAGAATGAAGAGGAAAGACTAAGAACAGGAAAAGGCAAATTGTAAGTCATAGAGGTGTCTGCAGAGGTTTCTATGGGAAGATCTCCAAAGAACAGCCCAAGCTGAACACTGGTGTATAGATATAAAAGGTAAGAGCAAATTATGTTCTGAGAAAATAGTGCGTCAAACAACTAGTATTTTCCAAAACAAATTCTATGAGTGTAAAAACTAACATGTTTCACAGTCCACTGTAGTGCTAGAGGGACGTTGCCGAGACATATAAGCCCCAGCCCTCCACATTCTCATCTCTCCTGAGAGTCCCCTTGTTTTATCCTCTTTCTGCTAGCTCCCTTTTTTACTTTCTTTTGGAGAGTCACCTGTGTTGGGAAACTACCACCCATAGAAACTAACAGTGGCAGACTCAGTATATTGCTAACTGTTGTACAACACTGTCCTCCTGTGGCCACATCTTTTTCCTTGATCCTCCCAAACTGTGTCCAACTCTTCACACTTACCCAGGCCAGGAGGCTGACCTCAGCTCCTCAGCCAGCTTCCCTTCCAGTCCTGTTTTAGGGAGTTGGGCCTCCAGTTGGGACACTCTCTGGATAAGACTCTCTAGATCCTTTTTGGCCTGGAATCCTGGGGTGTAGAAAGCGCCAGTGCCGTCAGACAGCCACCCCTCGTCCTCATCAGTGGCACTATGAGGTGAAGACCCCTCAAAGGTACAAACAGCCTTCATCTTCCGGGGTCTTTCCAGGCTAGATGAGTAATCGCTGGTAACCGAGAGGGACCGCACTCGGCTCTTGAGGTTTTGAATGATCTTGTTGGAGTTCTGCAGCTGGGCCTTCAGGTCTCTGATGTCCTTCTGTAGGACAGCGATGTCTTCTGACTGTCCAAAAGCTTGGAACTCTTCATGCTTCCCTAGCTGCCTCTCTGCGGACACCTTCCTGGGGGGATTCATCAGCGCCAATCCCAGGCGCTCTTGCTCAGAACTCAGTCCCTCCATTGGGATGGTTTCCTGGAGGCTATCATGTTCTTCACACTCTGCGAAAAGACAGAAACATCTTCCTCAGAAAAAAGCTGCATGAGCTGCTGCAGCCATTTGCATCAGAGTGAAGGCAGGCTAAACCACAGGGCAATAATTAGCTGGGCAAAAGTTGAGGCAGCATTAGCACTACACTTGGCGCTCAAATATCTCATTTCTTATCTTTCAACAGCCCTGCATAAGGGAGCTCTGGTGGCCTAGTGATAAGAAACTTTGTGGCTATCTCAAAGGGACATGGTTCAAATCCACCAGCTGCTCCTCAGGAGAGGAATGGGCAATCGCCTCCATGATTTATTGCCTCTAAAATCCTGTTAGTTCTGACTCAGTGATACACACTATGACCTGTAAGCCAAGGCTGATTATCTTCTATTTGTGTCAAGGACAAAACAAAGCTCAGAGAACTATAAAGTGGCAAGCATGAACTCATTCAGACTTGTGCATTAGAGAGTCAGAACTCAATTCCCCAGTGCCTGACTGTATAACCTGTGTGCTTTCTACACACAAAAATGACTTTGACAGCTTGACAGTCACATTGCCTGATGTATTTAAGAAGGCCATAAAAACTCTAGGGTAAGTTGTTCCTGACTTCTGAAAATTTAACAATCCTCAAATATTAAGGTTTATCTGATTATAGCTGTATGAAAATAGGCACAAATAAAATATCTTAAAGAAGTCCAGCTGCCTGAGCTAGTGATGGCTGGGTCAGAGCTATGTGGTAATAACAGGAGTGAATGCATGGCAACTGGCCAGGTGCCAGATACTATTCTAAAGGGTTTCACAAAATTTTACTAATTTTTTATGTTAGTATCCCATAGGGTAGTTAGTTCCTTTGTTGCTGTTTTAGCATAAGAGGAAAGCAAAGGACAAACTGGTGATTAAACTAATGCCTTTAATCACCACACTGAATAGCCTCAGTGATGAGAAAGATCACGACTGATTTTCTCTTCTCAGTTTTCAATTTGGTGGATTATGCTGTATAATAGTCCTTTTATAATGGAGACAAAAATTTAATTTATGGTTTTCCCATCTCACAAATGTCATCTTGTCTCTTCATTAATAAGTTGTTGTTAATGAAGAGATTAAGAAATTGTGGTGCATTTACTCAATGGAATACTATGCAGCACCAAGGAATAACAGTAACAATTTTGTAAAATACCATATAACATAGGAGAGACTATAGAGCATTATGCTGGGTGAATTCAGTCTTATAAGGACAATTACTACATAAGACCATTATTTTTTAAAA